ATCGGCCTCCAGGTGTAGATTGGGACTTCCGGGCTGGGTCCTCCCGCTGCCTGCCTGCCTCCGCGGGCTCCGGCTCCTGCAGCGGAGTTCCGGAACCCTCCAGCGGGGCCTCCGGGACCGCTCCCCTACCTCCACCAGCAGGGGGCTCTGTCATTTCGGGGAGGGGACGCTGGTAGAAATCTCTTAAATGCTGGGGATTGAACCCGGATCTTCAAACTGAGCTACATTCCCAGCTCCTCTTTGTTGTTTTTTGTAACGCAAATTGAACTGAGGACCTAGCGCCACATTTCCGGTTCCCTTAGCCCTTTTAATGTACTTTATACTTTTTTTGGAGACAGTATTACTATGCAACCCAGACTGGCTTCACAAATTCAGTGGTCCTCCTGCCTCAGTCTCCTGAGTTCTGGTATTACAAGCCCGGAGCACCACACCCAGCTCTAGCTCTTTTTATAGTCTGTTTTTTAAAAATTTTATTTATTTTTTTTCTCCAGCTGGGAATTGAACCCATAACCTTTGCACTGAGCTACATCCCCAGCACTTTTTAAAATTTTGAGTTAGGGACTCCTAAATTACTCAACCAGGCCTCAGACTTATGATCCTCCTACCTCAACCAGAGGTTGAAACTTCAAAGTGTACTTCACTACATGTGGCAGGAACATCTTTCGTTTTTTGAGACAGGGTTTCCCTGTGCAGTTCAGGCTGGCATTGAACTCACTGCATTCCTACTGCCCTAGCTTTCCAAGAGCTGGGGGGACAGGCGTGCACTAGCATGCTGGGCTTGTAAAGTCACTTTTGCAGTCTTTGTCCCGAACCTCAGCCCCTTTGTAGAGGGGCCCACTGCCCACCCAGCAGCATTGGAGTCATTCTGTCCTGGTCTTTGAGTGTTCAGGTGACCATGGCAACTGTTTTTTTTTTTTTTTTTTTTTTTTTTTTTTCAATCGGTACCGGCCATATGCTTGCAAGGCAGGCACTTATGCCGCTGAGCTAAATCCCCAGCCCCTACCATGACAGCTTTGTGGCTGGCCTTGCTTCCCTGATGCTAATGGTTGAGCTTGGAGGGCTGTGTTTCTTAGGGTTTGGATGGGGACGCAAAGCTGCTTGTCTTGCAGGTCCCTCTGACAGTGGGGATGTGGCCTGGCTTCCTCAGATCAGCCTGGGCTGGGTACAAGGTGGGACAGCCAGTGGCTAGGGAAGGACCACTGGGCTAGGAGTCTTGGCCCTCCTACTTCCGGTCCCTTGCCTCCATAAGGGAAGCAGATGCCTCCTGTGCTGCTGGCTATGTTGGCACGGCCAAGGGTGTGGGACCCACCCTGCTTTTTTTCCCTCCTTTAAAATGGGTCAGCACTCAGCAACTGGCACATTAGGAGTCCTTGGGGTTGGGCAGTAAATGCCTTTCCAGGAGTATGGGAAAGTGGGTGTGCTCTCCTGTCTCCTTTCGCTTGGCTTCCTGGGGAAAATAACCAGGACCCAAAGGACAGAGGGTGCAGGCACAGGCTCTCCCGGGCTCCGTGCTGAGCTCTCCAGTGTTAGGACGGCAGCAGGGGCCGAGGATCCCCATGATAGATCAGGAAAAGGCTCACAGAGGTGTGGGGGTGGCATTCAGGGCCACCAGAGCTCACGTTCCTAGCCAGCACCTCTGACCTAGGCTTGCTGGCTTCATCGGGGTTTTCTCTTCCAGGAAGACAGGAAGTGGGAGAGGGAGTGAGGAGGAGGCCAAGAGGGAATGCAGCCTGCAGGACACAGAGCCCCCCCTTGTTTACTAAAACTTCTGCCCTTTTGCTTTCTCTTTCTCTTCTACTTGGTGCAGTTGTGTTGAGAAGTGCTGTGTGGGGCATTTTGGGAATAAGGACTGGGGATTTGGGGGTTGGGGGAGTGGAGGTATCATAGGGTCCCCAGCACCCATGGATACTTAACTCTGTGTGTGCAGGCTTCAGAGGCAGGTGGCTCCTGCTTCTGGTACCAACCTGTGAATCGGGCTAAGTTTCATCCCAGTAGTGAGCTGTCACTGGCATTCTTTTTTTTTGGTCTTCTTTTGAGACAGGGTCTTTCTATGCAATTCAGGCTGGCCTTGAGCTCACTTTGTAGCCTAGGCTACAACCTAGGTTAGGTCTCAAACTCGCTACGATCCTCCTGCCTCAGCCTCCCGAGTGCTGGGATTACAGGGGTGAGCCACCATGCCTGACTACTTGCACCTTTTTTAAAAAGTAGAAAATTAGGGTCAGGGATTTAGCTCAGCGGCATACGTGCCTGCCTGGCAAGCTCGAGGTCATGAGTTCAATCCCCAGTACCGCAAAAAAAAAAAAAAAAAAAAAGAAAATTAGAGTTACATCTCTCTTAGGGAGGGTACTAATGTTTTATGTGTAGGTGGGTACCAGTTCACATGTCAAATGTAGGCTGTGTGTGTACTTTTGGGTTTTTTGTTTTGTTTTTAGAACCAGGGATCAAACTCATGACTTTGTGCTTTGCCAGGCAGGCACTGTGCTGCTAAGCTATATCCCCAGCTGTACTTTATTTTGTCTTTTTGAGACAGGGTCACTATGTAGTTCAGGCTAGACTTGGGCTCACTTTATAGCCCAGGCGGTCTGCAACTTGCAGCAACAATCCTCCTGCCTCAGCCTCCTGACTGCTGGGGTTATACCAGTGCACCACTACAGCCACTTTTTACTTTTGTTTTTTGAGGCAAGGTCTCCCTATGTAGACTAGGCTGGCCTTGAATTTGTAGCCATCCTCCTGCCTCAGCCTCCTGAGTGCCCCTGGGATTAGAGCAATGTCCTGCTTAATGTATGCAGTATTGCAGGTTCCATTATAAAAGGGCTAACAGTGTGCTTCAGTAGTAGAGAGCTTGCCTCAGCATGCAGAAGGCCCTGGACTCTATCCCTAATACTGGAAAATAAGTAAATATATAAAATTGAAGTGCTGGTGTGGTTGGTGTACATGCCTGTAATCCCAAGGCAGAGAAGGAGGACGGCTCTCAGTTCCATGCCAGCCTGGGTTACATAGTTAAAAGCCAGCATGAGCTATATATAATGAAATCTTGTCTCAAAAAACCAAAACTAAGTAAATATAGAAACCACTGCTAACATCCTTTAGAGTATTGGTTCTGTCATTTGTAGAAAAGTTCAGTTTGGGACTAGGGATGAAGTGAGATGAGAAACATTAAAACTCACCTTTTTTTTTTTTTTTTTTTTGTCATTTTCCTTTTTATCGGTACCGGGGATCGAACTCACGACTGGCTGCTTGCAAGGCAGGTGCTTACACCGCTGAGTTAAAACCCCAGCCCCAAAATTCACCTGTTGTGGAAATATTTTTAAGTGATGATTATGGGATAGTACCACAGCCTAAGGCCGGTGTCATCCTTAGTGTGGCACAGTACAGGCTGCTCACAGGAGCTGCTTTTATTTATTTATTTTTCTTTAACTTTTTATGGGTTCCAGGGATCAAACTCATGACCGCCTGCTTGCAAGACAGGTGCTTATGCCGCTGAGCTAAACTCCCAGCCCAGGAGCTGCTTTTGAGATTTGCCATTGGTTGGGTTGGGTGACATCACTGAAACTCATGCTACAAGTCGGGGCTTATTCCCCCTCACTCCCCTGAACTCAACTGAGAATAAGGTTTAGAGGGAAGGATTTGGGAGTTTCTGGGTTCGAAGCACTCTAAAAAGATCTTTGTGTTCTCTAAGCATGAACTGCGCGCCATTTATGTAACACCTGATCACTGACCACGGGCTGTCTTGAACATTAAAGGCGCCTAGTTGAGCTTCACGAGCCCACAGTAAAACTTGATTGCAGGCAGGCAGAGAACCCAGCCTGGAGTTCTGGTTACAAACACGGGGTGGGGGGGCGGGGAGTAGATGGGAGGCTTGGCCCTAGAGGAGAGAGAAGGGGGCCTGGAGCATCACCATTTCCTGGAGAGCAGTATCTTTTTTTTTTTTTTTTTGTCTTTTTCATTTTTATCGGTACCAGGGATCGAACTCACGACCGCCTGCTTGCAAGGCAGGTGCTTATGCTGCTGAGCTAAACCTCCAGCCCAAAGCAGTATCTTTAAGCCGATGACCGTACTCGGAGTTTCAGGGTTTGGCTTTCTCTAAAGAACAGCCCGCAATCTCGAATCCCCCGGGCTCCGAACCTAGCGCCACGTGCATCCCCGCAGGGAGCACTTGTGCAACCCCATGCGACAGGGCCTAGCGACGCCGTGACGCCAGGACCTCTGGGTTGCTTTTTGCGAGAGCTTCGTCCCCAGTTGGGCCCGAAGGACCCGCGGTGGGCGTGGTGCCCGCCTGCCTGCAGGGGACTTCCATTTCAGCCAGAGCTTGTTCAAGCACCGACAGCTCCTGTAATTGCCCAACAGAGGCGGATCCGTGGAAGAAGGGTGGAAGAAGGGTGATTCGTCCAAGGGTCCCAGCCGCCTCCTAAGCAAGGCTTGAGCTGGAACCCGGCGACCGCCCCGCAGGTGGGTGCGTGGCTTCTTTGGGCTTTGCAGAGCAGCCTCGGACCATGCTGGAATGGTGGCTTCGCCGCCTGGATCAGAGTGGCAGCGCCGCCTTCTTTCTCCGGCGAGGACGTAGGCGCCCGGATGCGAGGGCGGGCGACTGAGGCCCGCACTGTTGGGGGGCCACAAGCGCCCCTCTTGTGTTCCCCGCGCCGCCGCACAGAGAAGGGAAGCCGCTCCGCCACCATGTGACGTGCGGGCGGGCGGGGGGGGGGAAGGAGGGAGCCTGCGCAGCCTTGCGGGCCCCGCCCCCCGGCCGCCGCGCGCCCGCCGCGCGCCAATGTCCCGGGTCGGGCTGGAGAAGGGGAAGGGGGGGAGGGGAGCGCGGCGCGGGGGGCCGGCCCGTACGTCGCGCCGTTCTTTCCTCCCGCCTCTTCGCAAGGCCTTGTGTCTCCTCGCTGCGACTCCGCCCCTTCGTCCCGGCGCCCTAGCCAATGGCGAAACGGCGCGAGCCTCTCCGGCCGGGGGCGGGGCGTGCGCGCGAGGCTCAGCGCGCTTGCGCCTTGTGGCTCGCCCCTCGCCGTGAGGAGGAGGTGGAGGAGGAGGCGGCTCGGGGAGAGCGAGCAGCGAGCCGGAGCGCGGAGCGCTAGTGAGGGAGCCAAACCACCCGCCTGCCCGCCCGCCCGCCTGCCCGCCAGCCGCCGCCTCCCCTCCGCAAGCAAGAGCCCCGGCCGGGGCCCGGCACGCCGCCCCCCGTCCCTCCCTGGTCTTCTGGCCGCGAGGGCACAGCGAGCAAAGAGAGCGAGGGGGAGGGCGAGCGAGCCGCGCCGGGAGGAGGCGGCCGGACCGAGCGGGCGCCCGCGCGTGTGGCGTGAGGGAAGCCGCCTGCCCGCCCGCTCCCTTCGCCTTCCCTTCTCCCCCTTCCCGCTCCCGCAACCGCGGAGCAGCACCATGTCGGCGCCGGCGGCCAAAGTCAGTAAAAAGGAGCTCAACTCCAACCACGACGGGGCCGACGAGACCTCAGGTGAGCGGCGGGCGAGGCGGGGGCCGGCTGCGCCGCCATCTTCGCCGTCCGCCCGGGCCGCAGCCGGCGGCGGGGCGCCGGGGGCGCGCGGGGCCGGCGGGCGGGAGCCGCGGGATCGGCGCCCTTTTTGTGTCGCGCCGGCGCCGCGGCCGGGGCCGGGGCCGGGTGGCGCCGCGGCTGCGGGGGCGCTGCGGCCTGCTCGGCGCGGGCGGAGGAGACCCCCCCTTCTCCCCCTCCCGCGCTCTCCTCCCCTCCTCCTCCCTCCCTCCCGAGAAGCCTCTCTTTATTGTGCTCCGCCATGATGCCTCGCTCCTATCAGCCGCCGCCACCACCGCCACATGGTGCGGCCGGACGCGGCCTCGCGCTGGGCCTCCCCGCCCGGCGCCCCCCGCTGCACCAAGGCCGCGGGCTTCGCGCTCGTGTCGGGCCGGGCCATGGGCGCACGCGGCGGGCCCGGGTGGCTTGGGATGCTCGGGCGCCGTGCGCGCTCCCCACGTGGGCGGCCGCCACGGCGCGGGCCCCGGCGGAGCGCTTGCCCCGGGACGCCCCTGAAATCTCTACTTCGGCGGGAAGGGCCCGCTAGCGGCCCCGCCGATGCCGGGATGGTTACCGGAAATGACCCGCGCGTTGGGGCCCTGCACGCCCACTTAGCATTGTAGGGCTTTTCGCAGTTCCTACCGGACAAAAGGGCACCGAGCAGGAGCACACCCTCTGCTCTTCCTCTTTATCCTTCGCCTTGTAGTTTTCTCAACGCGTAATTTTCCCCCGTAATCGTGCTCCAAAATCGTGCGGGCCCATCTGGGCGATCCTTCCTCCGCGGGTGGCTTGGAGCCGTGGGGGAGGTCGGATTCGAATCCGGGCCCTCCGTTTCTAGGATTCCGTAGGGTTTGCGACGATGGAGTACTTCTGAGGACTTAGTTTTGTCCCTGTGCCGTTTTGTCTTCAGTGTGCCGAGTACTGAGCAGAACCTTCAACTTTCTGTAAAAAGTATTTGTACCAATGAGCGAAGTGATCGAGTCCTAAATTGTATTGTTGTGCTTTAGTTTCAATATTCTAGTTAGCAGCCAGCATTCCATTGCAAGTGTATAATGTGATAAATAAACACACCAAGAATTCGTGAATAAGTCTGGGCCTGATCTTTTTTAAAACGATTAGAATCGTGTCTTCTTGTATTGGAACTGTTTGTAAAGGTACTACAGCGAATCATAATTGGTCTCTTAATGTAAAAGTAATTTGTCAGCTAAGTGCATGAACACGTGGAGAACACTCTTTATATGTAGTTTGCACTTCTTAAAATCAGCTTTATGTTGGCCTGTCGTGCCGTGGTAGTAGTAAAAAGTCCATAGTATTGAGTTTTATGCTCCTTTTTTTGCAGAAAAAGAACAACAAGAGGCAATTGAACACATTGATGAAGTACAAAATGAAATAGACAGGTAAAGTTTTTTCTGATCTACTTTGGTGTTTTCTGAAATGCATCTCTTGGTCTGATAACTTTGAAACGTGGAAATCTCTGGTTGGCAAGAGGGATTTGATTGTCTTAGTTGGAAGTAGATATATTCCGTGTAATTTTTCTGTGAAATATAGAGATGATTTAATTTTAAAAAGAACTGACTTTAAACGATTGGGTTTGATTTTTTTTTTTTTTTCACCTGCCAAAGAGGACAAATCTCTTGAATTGTGTAGAATTTCTCGGGATTTAACCTAAAGTGCATCTGTGTTAAAAGAACTTGCTTGCTACATTGTTGCTTGATTAAAGACTTTATTTAGAGCATTTTCTTAAGGGAAACAATTATGAGTTTGGTTGGAAATCCAGTTGATAAAGTTCTTATACAGTGTTACCAGAATGTTCTTTCTGGGACTTTTTAAGAATCGGTCATTGATTAAAAAGAAATTGCCATCTTAGTTTTGTGTCTTTAGCTACAAACTAGGTGATTTGGTTATTAAAAATATGGGGTTTGAACTATTCTAAGGCTATTGGGGTTGAATGTTAGTCTGTAGTCAGGGAGTTTCTGTGTTAGTCAAATACCATCATTATTGTCATGTTTTCATTTGTTTGCTTCAGACTTAATGAACAAGCCAGTGAGGAGATATTGAAAGTAGAACAGAAATATAACAAACTCCGCCAACCATTTTTTCAAAAGAGATCAGAACTGATCGCCAAAATCCCCAATTTTTGGGTAACAACATTTGTTAACCATCCACAAGGTATGTTGTGGTCAGAACATTGGTAAAAGATGTAGGTGGAGGTGTGGGGTTCATTTGTTGGGGTGGAGGAGCCTGGCTCAGGATTGAATTGAGTATGTTGAGTAGCATGTACGTATTGAAATCTTTAGCGAGGGAAGCCCACTTCATTGCTTTCTCTACTTAGAGCAGAGCTGAGTGTAGTTACCTGATTAAAAAGCAGTCACTGTTCTGCTTCTGAAAAATTTGTCTTTTTTTAAAATAATGGACTTATAAAATGAAAGGTGATCCCTAGAGGGTTGAGAAGGACTCACTTAAGTTGTTAATGTTTACCTGTTTAAGTTTCAACTGATATATAATTTGCTGGTCTAGTGTCTGCACTGCTTGGGGAAGAAGATGAAGAAGCATTGCATTATTTGACCAGAGTTGAAGTGACAGAATTTGAAGACATAAAATCAGGTTACAGAATAGATTTTGTAAGTGTTCATATCTGTTGGTCACTTGAGATTAATTTAAGCTTTAGATAAGCTATTTATACTGATAAACTCATCTTGCAATTATTTATTATAGTATTTTGATGAAAATCCTTACTTCGAAAATAAAGTTCTTTCCAAAGAATTTCATCTGAATGAGAGTGGTGACCCATCTTCAAAGTCCACTGAAATCAAATGGAAATCTGGAAAGGTATGCTTTGGAAAATTCTCAGAGAGATGGAATGTTTTATGTTTTAACTTGGTAGAACCATGTAACTAGTACTTGGGTTTTGTTGATTTTTGTTATTGATTGTTAAATATAATAAAAATCTTAGTGTGTTGAGCCAAAAACAGTTTTATAATAGTAGAGACTTTCAGTAGCAACGTGAAATTTTGAGTTATGTCCCTGTGTAAGTGCTTATAGTTAATGTAGAATAGTTTATAATGAAAAAGCCAAATTTAGTTGGTCTTAGGAAATAATTTTCTCATTGTACGTCTATAATTGGTTTTAGATAGACTAGTGTAAGTACTGATGTTTTTTGATAATGTTTTGGGAGGATTATTACTAACTCATGGGGAGTTTAGGTATTGTGGAAGCTTTATATCAAAAGTTTCCTCACATTTTCACTTAGGATTTGACGAAACGTTCAAGTCAAACACAGAATAAAGCCAGTAGGAAGAGGCAGCATGAAGAACCTGAGAGCTTTTTTACTTGGTTTACTGACCATTCTGATGCAGGCGCGGATGAGTTAGGAGAGGTCATCAAAGATGACATTTGGCCAAATCCATTGCAGTACTATTTGGTAAGTTGAGTATTGGTTTCCTAGAAGTAGTAGTTGTCAGGTTTGGGAAAACGTGAGTTCTAAGGAACTCTTGTAATTTAAAGGTTCCTGATATGGATGATGAGGAAGGGGAAGGAGAAGAAGATGATGATGATGATGAAGAAGAAGAAGGATTAGAAGACATTGATGAAGAAGGAGATGAAGATGAGGGTGAAGAAGATGAAGATGACGACGAAGGAGAGGAAGGAGAGGTAAAGAAAGTAGTAGGCTAAGCTGGAGAAGGACCCTCGCCACATTGGGGGACTACAGGATGGCTGGTGTGAGCTACTGATTTGGGAAGATAATGTTAGACACCTAGAATCAAGGTGTCTGATTCCTGTTAATGATTGAATTCTGTTGGTTTTTGTGGGAACCTGTCTTTCCCTAGCCAGTGTTTAAGGAAAACAATAGTATAGTAGCTGGTCAAGTTCAGAAATGTCTCCCAATTTTAAGAAAAGCTGTGTGTGTTTGTATCCCCCTACCCACCCTATTGTGGTGGTAGAGATTGGACCTTGAGCATGCTATCTATGCAAGTGCTCTACCATTTAGCTAACCACCCAAGCCAAAACTGTAAAATTTAATAGGTTAGGCTGTGGGCCTGGTGTAATGGTACACATCTGTGATCCTAGCACTTGGGAGGCTGAGGCAGGAATATTGCCCCAAGTTTGAGGCCAGTCTGAACAAGATCCTGTCTAAAAACCAAGAAAGAAAAAATAAGTCAAGTTTGGTAGGTTGGTTATATGGTTCAGTCTATGCCCAAAGACTTTAATTCTGGCCAAGGATTTAGCTCAGCGGCACAGGTGCCTACCTGCCAAGCTCAAGGTCCTGAGTTCCATCTCCAGTACCAAAAAGATAAGATTTGGTTCTGAGGTATTGCCAGATTTTCTGACATAGTATGGTAGAACTTTTGTCTTGATGTGATACAGATTAATCCAGAGGTTAGAAACCGGGAGTCCTTAGGAGATGGTCCTTCACAATGCATGGAAACAAGGGCCTGGCTTGGGAATGGAGCCTGAGGACTTAACTGCCCACTTTCTTTTGCAGGAGGATGAAGGAGAAGATGACTAATTGAACACTGATGGATTCCAGTCTTCTTGTTTTTTCCTTTTTTTAAAATTTTAATTTTAATTTTCTCCAGTCCCTGGGAGCAAGTTACAGTCTTTTTTTCCCCTCTTGTGCTCAGTCACCCTGTTCTTGAGGTCTCTCTTCTCACACACCGTGGTTCTCAACTTTGTGGGGTGAAACCTTGAACGGAACACAGTGGGAAAAGGATCTCTACAACCTTCTGTTCTAAATTCATTTTGATCCCCTCCTGTCTCCACACTCACTTTTGGAATCAACACCACCACCGTGCTCTGTGGGAAAAAAGAAAACCCTCCACTCCCTTCACTCTGCTGGAAGCTGGAGGGGGCTAGGCCCCTGTGTAGTAGTGCATAGAATTCTAGCTTTTTTCCTCCTTTCTCTGTATATTGGGCTCAGAGATTACACTGTGTCTCTATGTGAATATGGACAGTTAGCATTTACCAACATGTACCTGTCTACTTTCTCTTGTTTAAAAAAAGATTAAAAAAAACTTAAAAAAATGGGGTATAGAAGGTCAGCAGAGGGTGGGTTTGAGATGTTGGGTGGGTTAAGCGGGCATTTGACAACATGGCTTCTCCTTTGGCATGTTTAATTGTGATGTTAACAGACATCCTTGCAGTTTAAGATGACACTTTCAAAAATAAAATTATCTCCTAATGATGACTTGAGCCCTGCCACTCGATGGGAGAATCAGAACCTGTAGGGTTTTATTTGGAATTGACATTCTCTAATGTAATTTTGTTGGTTTATTTTTAAAATCTTTTTTTGTTTTCACTGGAAAGGAAAGGTGATGCGCAGTTTTAAACGTTCAAAGTGTACAAGTTGCTTTGTTACAATAAAACTACATGTGTACACAAAGGGTTTGATGTTTTCTCTCAGAATGGATGTACTGCCAGGGCCTCCCAAGTTTGACTTGTAACAACCCCATTGTCAGACTTTCTTACCTAACTCCCTATTTTTTGATATGCACTTTCCAGGATGACCTCAGGGCTATATAGGTGGAGTTAAAGGGATTTGAATCTATGTTATGTCTCCACAGCCAGCACAGTTTTGTCAATGATTTCTGAAAATGTCATTTGAGATACCAGAATCTGAACTGAGTTCCAAGTTGTACTCTTAACTTTTGATAGGCAGCTTTGAAATGGCCCTCTGGACCCGGATGTAAGAGGTACATCCTCCACCACCCACGTCAACACATGCTTGGTGCTCACCTGGCTGCCTGTGGGGCAGCTGCTGGTGTGTGTGTGTGGGATGTAGCAGTGTCCAGCCAAGGAAGGGGCGTTCGAGGCTTAGGAGTGCTTTTCCTCTGGAGCCCCAGGGGTTGGAGGAAACAGATGCCACTGTGTGAATCTGGGTGGGATGGGTCTGCAGACTGCTCAAAGCCACTGGACGGAGTAACATCATGAGAGGCTTCTTAGTGCATAAGCCTTTTACTTCTGTAAAATAGAGCTGAAAGTAAATGTAGATTTTTGGGGGCTGAATTAATGGACAGCCTAGTCAAAAGCTTTTTGATGTATAGAAATTTATAAATGGAATGATTCCATTAGGTGAAGTGTAACCCTTACCTGTTTTAGATGGATAGTTGTGATTTCTGCACAGGTCTCTGTTTAGTGAACTCATTACTGTACTGGTCAGGGATCTTGCTCCAATAAAGGAACATAAAGATGTTTTTTGGACTGAGGTCATTCTCCTTGATTTGCAGAGAAACGTGACTGATAGGGGGTAATCAGTTCAGCAACACAGGACCTAGCGTAGGTTCATCTGTATAAAGAGGACTCAAATGCCTGGCTGTAGACCCATTCCTACCTCCAACTTGATGTCACAGTGTCAATTTCTGCTGCAGTCCTGTACCCTTAGGAAGCTGAGACAGGAAGATTGCTGTGACTTTCAGGCCAGTCTAGATTGACTTCCAAAGGCTAGTGTTTTTTGGCTTGTTTTTTTAGGATTGGGGCTTGTGTGCTCAAGGCTGGCTTCCCACTCCAGGGCCCAGGCAGGCCTCTTGCTCCCTCCAGGGTATCCTGAGCAGGTCCTAGCCCTGTACTGCAGCCAGCTATGGTTTAAGGGTGGGTTCTAGACCAGGCACAAAGTAGACTGCACTGTGAGAAAAGTGCAGTGGCCATTGGGTTCCTGAATCATTTACTGAGCATCCGGTGGGGGGGGGGGGGACTCCTGAGGGACACTGGGGTAGCACATAGGCTGCTTTGCAGAGAAACTCCCTTCTCTGTGCTTTGCTTTCCCAAAGCTTTGGAGGACAAGGAGATCTTCGTTCTGGTTTCAAAACTTTAGAACAGTTTTATAGTTACTTATTTCTCCAATAGTTGTTTCTCCACTAATTCCAGCATAGCAATTTATGTAAAGGGTATAACTGGAATCCAGGCTAGTTTTGAACCACTATGTAGCCCAGGCTGGCCTCCAACTCTAGGTGATCTTGCTGCCTCCAATAATTTGAAAATGACAAAGTTGGGTGTGGGTGTTACAGCTGCAAATCCTAGCACTCAGGAGGCTGAGGCAGGATGCCATGAGTTCAAGGACATTTTGGACTACATAGGTAAATACTAGCCTTGGCTACAGTGAGATCCTGTCTCAAAAAAGACAACTGTTCCTTAATACCCACTTGACAGAGCTTTTACAGTGTAGAGTTAACATGGTCCAGTGTTTCTGAGCATCATGTTTGACAGACTCCTGTTTGCTGCACCAGTCTGGATCACTCCTGAAAGGTACATAGTTGACCTTGTGGGGTCTCAAGACACCAGAGGGCTCCTAATCTTTGCTGGTGGATTTCTTTAGTAACCTACCACATCTGCCTTGTAGTTAGCTAATTTCAGTCTCACATGCTTCCAGAACTGGGCCTAACGGTTCAGCCTTTTAAAGAATTATTGCTATGGGCTGAGGATTTAGCTCAGCAGCACAAGTGCCTGCCTGGCAAGTGCAAATTCATAAATTCAATCTTGTTACCCCCTCCATTATTGTTCCCGCCCTGTAATTCCAGCACTTGGGATGCCAAGGCAGGAGGATCCTTGAAAGTTTGAGACCAGCCTGTGCTACAAAGTGGGCTCAGGTCCATCCTGAACTGCGTAGCAAGATCTTGTCTCAAAAAAGACAAAAAATTATTGCTATGAACCCTCGGAGTGTCGGAAAACTATAACCCTGTTACAAATAGTCTTGGCTTGGTATGGTGGCATATCCCTGTAATCTCAGCACTTGGGAGGCTGACACAGGACAATGGTTGCAAATTCAAGGCCTGCCTTGGCTACCAAAGTGAGCTCAAGTCCAGCCTGAACTGCATGGTGAGACCAAACAACAAAACAAACGGTCTTCCAGGCTAGAGTCTCCTGGAGACCAGTGTTCTGCTTTTTCCTAGTGGCCTGGATGAATCCAGGGCCTCACATGCTAGAGAAGCAAGCATTCTACCCCTGAGCTCCTTGTTAGGACTGAGGGTTTTTCTTTCTGCTCCCCTTTCCCCCAGAGCCATGGAGCTGAGCTCCATTTCCAGCCTTTTTTTATACTGAGACAGGATCTCACTAAATCACTGGAACTTGGGGTCCTCTTGCCTCAGCCTCCCAGAGCGCTTTGAGTACAGGCGAGCATCATCCTGCCCTTCTAAGTTCTTAAAAGGAAGAGGGAATACTCACTTTACAGTCTGCCCTGCCCCAGCAGAGAGCTCTCCTTTATAGAATACACGGCCATGGGTATGAAGGCGTCTGCAGCACTCTCCAGCAGCTCTGAGGGAGAGAACTATAGTTTTGTGATCACAAGAACAGCAGACTGGGGACTTGCAGGTGGACGGCATGTGTTGAATGGATTATTGGAAGACATTGTGTATTCAGATTCTGCACAGAGACAGTGTGGCTGGATGGTTTAGTACTGGGGAGGAAAAAGTCGTGTGTGTGTGTGTGTGTGTGTGTGTGTGTGTGTGTGTGTGCGTGTGTGTGTGTGTGTGTGTGTGTGGCTAGAAAGGGGGAGACAGTTTCTTCTGCACCCGGCAAGGTGGGCTTGGGTTCCTTCTAGGCAGGTTCTCTTTGCTATTGTAAAGGCCATCTGCTTACCCAGGGCCGCAGCCTGGGCTCGGTCGCCTGAGCACCGGTCACAACCACACATTCTGGAGAGCCTTTCCATTCTCAGAAGGCAGAGCAGCAGCCTGGATGCAGCAGCCTGGGCTCAGCGCCAGTAGACGGCCCAGCAGAGGGAAGTGAGCCTTCCTGGGGGATTATTGGAATCAGATTAAGACTGTAGCTTTCACTCATCAAGGTAAATTCCCTTTTTTTCTCACTATGTAGTCCCAGGCTGCTAGGACCCCAGTGGAGAGCGGCTGCCACACAGGTGGCGCTGTCCTGGCGAGGGCCAACCCCCCACCTCCGACCCCAAGCTCACGGCGACACACAACTAGAGGGATCCTGGCCGCAGAAATGCCCCTCGCTGCCGCCATCCCTGGGCACATTCGTACGACCGGGCGCGAGGCGTAGGGTCGCGGCCCCTTCGGGTGCCGGGTGCCGGGTGGCGCTGGGGATTCCGGGAGCGGGGTCCCCGGACGCTGCTCTCGTGAGTGGCCAGGAGGCGGCGCTGGTCCCTGCCAAGTCCCCGCGGGCCTCGGGTCTCGGGAGGGGGCGCTCCATCCTAGGTCTCCGCGCCGCTTCCCGGGAAGTTTTAAGTTTGAAAGTCCTGGCGGAGAGGCCGGGGCCGGAAGCAAAGGGGTCGAGAGGAGGGGCCGAGCGGCGCCATGGAGGAGGGGGCAAGGCGGCAGGTGAGCGCCAACGGGGATGGGGTGCAGCGCCCCCACTCCGGCTGGCTGCCTGTGACACCTTCGCGGGGTAGACCTGAGCCCTGGGCAGTCGCTTATGTCCCCTGGGTGACTCAGCCTTGGGTCAGGCCAGCCCAGGAACCACCGAAGTGGGCCCCGAAATGTCCCCAGATTGGTTCTTCAGGGGGGATGCTGAGGCAATGAGCCGAAAAAAGAACTGGGGGGTGGGGGTGGGGGGCCTTCGGGAGGTGTGCACTGTGGGAAGGGGACAATCTTTGTGTTTGTGGGGTTCCTCCCAGGCCTGCGGGGTGCGAGGGTGAACTGCACGCCGGGAGGCCCCCAGCGCAGCATCCAGGTGGGAATTTGGGGGCACACAGGGTTCCAGAATGTGGAGGGACCCGGGGTTTCCACCGGGAACTAGCCATAGGTCCTCTGGCTCTGTATGTGTGTCTGAGGAGGGGCTTTCGGTCAGGATCCCAGCCCAGCTCAGACATCGTGCAGCACAAGGGGCCTCGGACTGCCCCCACCCATGCTTTAGGGAGCCCTCAGGGCTGAGGCCACCTCCTCCCCGTTGGCCCTGTGCCTCCAAGAAGTCCCCCTGCCGGGTCCAGCCCTGCTCTCACACATTTTCCGATTTCCTGCAGCCTCCGCCCTGCTGCAGCTGGGTGACTCAGGACCCCTGCTGCCGGCCCCCAGCTCCCAGATCTTTGTTTGCTCAGGCCTTTGGCTCTGGCCCTCTTGCCTGGGGCGGTCAGAGGATTTCCTGAGCCTCGCCCTTGCCCTCAGACAGCCAGGCCAGCAGAGCCTGGGGTGGGGGGTCCTCGAGGCTGGGCAACCATTCTTCCCTGGGCTCAGGAGATGGCAGGCCGAAAGGTAAGATGGGGTAGTTGCCAGAGTCCTTGAGAGGGGACGTCCTGGATTCCTTGATTTGCAGTGTCTCCTCCAGAGGGGGAGTTTTCTACCGGGCTCTGACCTGGGACCCAGGGAAAGAACCTTCTTCCTCCCAGAGCTGAGTTGAGGCTGCACCATGACCTAGGCCCTGCTGGATATCCCTGCTTCGTCACCTGTGGCTATTGGGAGGTCGGAGGAACAAGCCTTGGCCTGGGGCCACTGTCTTTTTCCCTGTGACCCAGGCTGAGTCCCTGTTGGGCAGCGCTGAGCTTTTTCTGGCCTCTGAGCTTCCCAGTTCCCAGTCTCTGAGAATACAGCATAGCTGTCTGGGAGAGGCTGTGACTGAGATACTGTGTCTTCTCTCCTGTGTCACCACCAAGGGCCATTGTGCACATCTGTCCTGTGTCACATGGGGATAACTCCTAGGCCCAGAGGGAGCTCAAGGCCTGGATTCTCCACCAGAAGCAAAGCAGAACAAAGCCCTTTCCTTCCTCAGAGGGGTGACAGCCTAGGACCTGATTAGCACCAAAGGAGCCCCAGCAATCTCTCCTCCCTCTTACCTGTTTGTTTGGGATTTTTGAGATGTTCTCACTATGTAGTTCAGGGGGGCCTTGAACTGACTGTATAGCCCAAGCTAGGCTTGAACTTGCAGCAATCCTCCTGCCTTAGCCTTCCAAGCACTGGGATGACAGGTGTGTGCCACCTCACCTGGCTCTGAGGGTGGAGCGTTTCCCAAGCTGTGCACGACCCTCTTGGATGCTGCCACACGCCCCGTCCCCTAGGCTGCAGTGACTTTTCTTTGTCCTTCCACAGGGTGAGCCCAGCCAGCGGCCCCTGGAAGATGAGAAGGAGGTAATCCGCCGGGCCATCCAGAAGGAGTTGAAAATCAAGGAGGGCATGGAGAACCTGCGTCGCGCGGCCACAGACCGCCGCCATGTGGGCCATATACAGCAGCTGCTGCAATCTTGCAACCGGCGCCTAGAGCAGCTGCACGGCCAGCTTCGGGAGCTACACACCCGAGTCCTGCTGCCTAGCCCGGCTGGTGAGCAGACGGGGCTGGCAGCACCTAGGGATGCAGGCTCTGGTCTCCCATCCTGGCCTTGTGCGCACAGACTGCTTCACTGCTCCAGGCCCCCTCCTGTGCCTGTCACCCATGTGCCCTGGTGGAGGGGAGGGAGGGCTACGGCCCTGGTGATCATGTTCTGTGCCTGACACTCCGGTGTACAGAGCCTGTGGCCTCAGGACCCTGGCCCAGGGCAGAGCAGTCCAAGGCTCGGCACCTGGAGGCCCTGCAGAAGCAGTTGCAAGTGGAGCTGAAGGTTAAGCAGGGGGCAGAGAATATGACCCACACATGTGCCTTTGGCACCCCCAAGGTAAGACCTAGCTCCTGGGGCTGGGTGGAGGTGGCACACCCCTGGCCCGAGGACAGATGAGAGAGAATGGGACAGACTGAGCTCTCATACATTAGGGGAAGCAACGTGTGGTGGCTATCTGATGCCCATGTCTTAGTGTTCAGGAGGCTGCCATGTGTTTGAGTCCAGCCTGGGCTAAAGAATAAAATTCTGTCTCAAAGGAAAAAAAGAAAGATGTTAGGGGAGGTACAGGCCCAGCCCCTACTCTGATTCAGGAAGTGTTCAGCCCCGAATCCCGGGGTGTGCAAAAAGCATGGCTCTGGTCCAGCGTCTGACAGGTGGTAACAGGCACTAGCCAGATGGACACTCAGCCCCTGCTGCAGTCACAGGGCTGAGCGTGATGGGGAAAGCTGCACCTCAGTGTTGTTTGCCAGGAAGGCCTGCCCTGACCCTTAGCCCAGTGGGGAGAGTCTGTCCGCTCTGGGGCCCAAGAGGATGCTTGTCATGTCCCTGTAGGAGAGAAAGCTCCTGGCTGCTGCCCAGCAGATGCTGCGGGATTCCCAGCTGAAGGTAGCCCTGCTCCGCATGAAAATCAGCAGTCTGGAGGCCAGCGGGTCCCCTGAGCCAGGTGAGGCCTTAGGGCCTTGCCACTCTGCAAGGAGGGCGGGCAGGACAGAGCCAGCTTGGGCCTGAGGCTTGAGTGTCCCCCGCACTCCAGGCCCTGAGCTGCTGGCTGAGGAGCTGCGGCACCGGCTACACATCGAGGCTGCAGTGGCCGAGGGTGCCAAGAACGTGGTGAAGCTGCTTGGTGGCCGGAGAATGCAGGACCGCAAGGCCCTGGCTGAGGTCAGCTGTATCCCTTGCCCTTGCTGTGGACTCCACTTGCAGGTGGATTCCACCTGCAGGACCGTGCAGGTGGCAGTGAGGAAACAGGACGCAACTTCTGCTGCGGCTTGGAGGGTGTCTCCAGCTGGCCCAGATCCTGCACCCCACGGCCTGTCCCTGCCTCTATCCCCCTCTGTAGGCCCAGGCCCAGCTCCAAGAATCCTTACAGAAGCTGGATCTGCTCCAGCTGGCCTTGGAGCGGCTGCTGGAGGGCCTGCCTCCCAGCCACCCTCTGCACAGCAGGGTGGCCCGGGAACTACGAATGGCGACGCTTGGGAACCCACAGCCTTCAGGGACACTTGTGAAGCCCACCGCCCTGACAGGTTAGCCAGCTTCAGAGCCTCCCTTACCTCTGGTAGGGGAAATCCTGAAGCACTTTGGGAAAGAATTCAGTTGTTCAGCTTGTAACTCTCCTGCCTCAGCCTCCCTAAGTGCTGAGATTACAGGAGTGCAACACCTTGCCAGCCTTAGAAAGGTCTTTCTTACACTGTCTCCCATCAACAAATCACTTGAATGCATGGCTCCAGACCTCAGGAGGCCAGATGGGCCACGTTCTGTGTTAATCCCAAGCCCAGCCTCCCATAAATTGTGTTCTTGGGTCCACTTTTTGTCCTCAAGAGGTCCTAGACCTCCATTGGTTTCTCTGCCCTTGGAGAAAAAACTCTTAGTGACCTGAAAACTGAACCTGCTCAGTTGTGTACCCACTGGGTGAGGTAGGCTACAGCCAAGACTCACCTCCACTGTTCAGATGGGGAAACTGAGGCCCAGGGAGCAACTGGGGCCAAAGCTGAAAGCCAGGCTTTTTGCTTCTTGCCCCAAACTTTGAGACCCAAGTATCAGGCAGCATCTTGGACTCTGCCACAGTCTGACCAAGGTCTGGACATTATATTTGTTTTCCTGAGACAGTGGGTCTCTATGAGATTGAGGCTGGCCTTAAAGACACAGGGATCCTCCTGCCTCAGCCTTCTCCTGGGTGCTGGGATTACAGGAGGCCTGGGTTTTTTTGGGGGCAGCACCAGTTTGTCACCCTGAGTGTGGCAGGTGGCCACTGAGGTGCCACATGCACCAAGTCTGGATCAGCCACCTTGTGGAGAGGGTGATATTGCTGGGGTCCCAGGGTACATTGGTGGTGGCATCTGACAGGACCCTCCCACTCCACAGGGACACTGCAGGTCCACCTCCTGGGCTGTGAGCAGCCACTGGCAGCTGTGCCAGGACGCTCCCCGGTGGCTGCACTGGCCAGCAGCCCCTCCGAGGGCTGGCTTCGGGCTAGGGCCAGGCAGCAGCGTGGCAGAGGCGAGCTGGCTAGTGAGTAGGAGGGGAGCAGCCATCAGGGGCGGCAGGGAGCCCTGCTCTGTGCCTACCCTGAGCCCAGCCCTGGCCCCGGCCCCGCAGGTGAGGTGCTGGCGGTGCTGAAGGTGGACAACCGAGTGGTGGGGCAGACAGGCTGGGGGCAGGTGGCCGAGCGGTGCTGGGACCAGACATTTGCCATTCCCCTGGAGCACGTAAGGCTGGCTGGGGGGAGTCTGGGCTAGCTGTGGGCCCTAGGGCACCAGGGCCCCAGCTCGGGGTGCTCCCTAGTCCACCCTGAAGCCTCTCTTCCTTGCTGCAGGCACGGGAGCTGGAGGTTGGAGTGCACTGGCGAGATTGGCGGCAGCTATGCGGTGTGGCCTTCCTGAGGCTTGAGGACTTCCTGGACAACGCCTGTCACCAGCTGTCCCTCAGCCTCATGCCGCAGGGCCGGCTCTTTGTCCAGGTGCTGCCTGCCCCCTGCCCTCTGCCTTGATGGCCCCTGGGTGCAAGACTTAATGCCCTTTGAGACTGACCAGAGCAAAAAGGTCTCTAGGGGACAAGTCTGGAGGCTGTTGTCCCTGTCCTGACTGCCTGCTTCCTATGTAACTCTGAACAAGTGCATCTCTTCCCCGAGCCTGTTTCTCCACTGGTACCACTGAGGACATGGCACCCATCTCTCTGGGTCCTTGCATCCGTGGGTTGATACTGGGGGCTGCGCCTGGGGGCCTGGGGTGGATGAGACAGATGGGACAGGAAGGGACCCTTGTCATCTCTGCCCCGCCCCCTGCAGGTGACCTTCTGTGACCCTGTGCCTGAGAGGCGGCCCCGGCTGCAGAGGCAGAAACGCATTTTCTCTAAACAGCGAGGTGTGAAGGGCTGGGGCCACATGTGGACAGGGGACGGGACTGGAGTCCTCAGGTGTCCTGGGACTGACCTCCTTTTGCCCCAGGCCAGGACTTTCTGAGAGCTTCGCAGATGAACCTCAGCATGGCAGCCTGGGGGCGCCTGGTCATGAGCCTGCTGCCCCCCTGCAGCTCACCAAGCACCATCAGCCCCCGCAAAGAGTGCCCTCAGACCTCAGCTACACCCTACGGGACCACCAAGCCTGCGTCCCCATGGTGAGGAACCACCTCGCCCCAGATGCTTGTTTCTCCGCCCTGTTTGTCTCTGCCCTCTTGTCTCTGGGTGGCTGTGTGTCTATTCCATGACTGTCTCATCCTCCTGATGAGACCTTGTGTCTGCTTCCATCCCACAGTCATCTGCCCAAGAAGACCCCCACAGGACAAGAGCTCCAGCCGCCGCCCAAGCCCCCACGCCTCTTCCTGCCCCAGGAGCCTGTCCCGGAGGAGACGCCGGTGAGGGCTGGGGCCAGCAGACCGGGAGGCTAAGAGGCAGCAGCCCGCTCTGGCCTGAGCCCCTGTGTTCCCACAGTGCAACAAACGCCCCCACATGGAGCCGAGGACCAGGCAGGCACCTGCCCTGGTAGCCTCCCCTGCCAGGTACTCCGTCAGGCTTGCTGCCTTTGCTTTGGGACACCTGTAATTACTCTGTCTCACCTTGGGTGCGCACTGTGGCTGGCTGCCTTCGAGTTTTCCTTGCTCAGTGCTGTTTCTGAGCTCCAGCTGTTTGCAGGACAGCAGGGACAACTGTTCCCTTTGTGCCTCTGGGCCTGTCCCATGACTGGACCAGAGGGTGTGGAGTGGCTCATGGGGAGCCCTGGCCTGGCCCCCCGGCTTCTCGTGTCCCTTTTGTCTTGCAGGAAACCCCCCCGGCTGCAGGACTTCCACTGCTTGGCCGTGCTGGGCCGGGGACACTTTGGCAAGGTAGTGGCCCGGGAGGGTGCCATGGGGCCAGTGGACACTGGGGGTTATGGGCAGGAAAATAAAGGCACCCCTGTCCTGCCTACCCAAGTCAACCTCTGTGTGGTCCCCAGGTCCTCCTGGTCCAGTTCAAGGGGACAGGGAAATACTATGCCATCAAGGCACTGAAGAAGCAGGAGGTGCTGAGTCGGGATGAGGTGGAGAGGTATGTGGGTCCCTGGGGGCTCTTGGTGGCTGCTGTGGGCTGTGGCTGACACCCTGCTGGGCCTGGGCTCTCATTGGCATCTGTAGTGGAGAGCTGTGGGCCACCAGGCAGGGCCACCCTCCTCTGCTCCCAGCCCTTCAGTTTGCTCTTCTGTGGTGGTGCTGCAGGCTGTGACTCCTGTGAGCCTGTGCTTTCTGGGCAGCATCACTTTGCCCCCTAGCACTCTGAGCACCAAGTGAGCTAGGGTCCCGTGCGGGAGGCAGGGTGCTGTCCACTGAAGGGCTTTTTCTTGTGTGTGGCATTGGGGATTAAACCCAAGACTTCACTCAGCTACATCTCTAGCCCCTTATTTTTTAAAATGGGGGGACAGTTTGAAACAGTCTTGCAGTGTAGTCCAGGCAGGCCTTGCACTCACTGTGTAGCCCTCAAACTCACCTGGGATCCTCCTGCCTCAGCCTCCCCAGTGCTGGCAGTACCACACCCACCTCCAGTGGAGTTGGCAGCCCTGAGACCCAGGCCTTCCCCCCTCCACAGCCTGTACTGTGAGAAGCGGATCCTGGAGGCCGTGGGCCGCACAGGGCACCCCTTCCTGCTCTCCCTCCTCGCCTGCTTCCAGACCTCCAGCCATACCTGCTTCGTGACTGAGTTTGTGCAGGGCGGTGACCTCATGATGCAGATCCACGAGGATGTCTTCCCTGAGCCCCAGGCCTGGTGGGTTCTTCTCCTGTGGCCCTGCCCTGTCCCCTCTCCTTTCCTCTTGTTCCCTCTGGGAGCCAGCAAGCCTCCTGGTTCCATTCTCCCAGCATGCTGCAAGTAACAGCTACAGATTCCTGCTGGTGCAGCACTTAGGAGGCTGAGGCAGGAGGACCCTCATGGATTCGAGGCCAGGCTGGGCTGCATAGTGAGACCGTCTCAAAAAACCTGCCTGGCGTGGGAACTGGCAGCTGGTTATTTTCTGCATCCCTAGTGCAAGATTCTTGAAGTTAGGAAGACCTGATCCTCACTAAGCCCTGCACCTAGCCATGTGATCCAGGGCCAGGCCTTCCCTGGAGCCTCTAGGTACCAGGTCACTGTGGCGGACAAGGTCAGGCAGGAGAGGGAAGTGTGCAGTGGGAGAGCTCAGGAAGGGTGGGCTGAATAGACAGCAACCTTGAGATGACCTTGGGCTCCTTATCTGAGGGCTGCCACCCAGCCTGGGCATGGTCCTCCCGTACCCTGCCTCTCACCTGTGCAACAAGACCCATGCCTCTCGGATGCACAGCCTGGGCCTGAATTCCCCCTTTCCCCTAGCTTCTACCTGGCCTGTGTGGTCCTGGGGCTGCAGTTCCTACACGAGAAGAAAATCATTTACAGGTAAGCTGTTGACCAGAGATGCTGGGACAGGGCAGGGAGCCAGGGTGGGCTCTGGTTCCTCCTGGTCTCCGCCTCCAAAGCGCCTTTGCCCTCAGGGACCTTAAATTGGATAATCTCCTGCTTGACGCCCAGGGCTTTCTGAAGATTGCAGACTTCGGGCTGTGCAAAGAAGGTGGGGCTGTTTATGCCAGACCTTTGTCCTGTAGCCTCATCAACCCTCCTGCCTCAGCCTCCCAAGTGCTGGGGTTACAGTGTACTGGTGTTGATGTTATAGCAAATAAGTCATCTCACCGAGCAGGCACCAGTACAATGTTGGTTTGCAGGGATTGGCTTTGGGGACCGGACAAGCACCTTCTGCGGCACCCCGGAGTTCCTGGCGCCTGAGGTGCTGACACAGGAGACATACACACGGGCTGTGGACTGGTGGGGGCTAGGTGTACTGCTGTATGAAATGCTGGTGGGCGAGGTAAGCACAGTGCTATTGCAGGGCGTGGTGGTGGGTGAGGTCCCCCATGCACTTTGCTGAGCCCTGCTTTCCACAGTGCCCGTTCCCAGGGGACACGGAAGAGGAGGTGTTCGACTGCATTGTCAACACAGATGCCCTGTACCCCCACTTTCTGTCAGCGCAAGCCCTCGAGCTCATTCAGAAGGTAGGTTCCTTAGGGGTCCAGGGCCATGCTCTGTAGCTGCTTGTAATTCCCGGGCTCTGTTACTAGTGCCCTTGGGGATCCCCGGTACAGCCATGTGAAGTGCCTGGGGGACACTCTGAGTGCACACCTGCTCCCTGCCCAGCTCCTTCAAAAGTGCCCAGAGCAGCGCCTGGGCGCTGGCCAGCAAGATGCGGAGGAGATCAAGGTCCAGCCGTTCTTCCGGGTGAGTGGCCAGCTATGCTGGGGTGAGGGGCCTGGAGTGACCCCCACAGCTACTGCTTCCTGCCAACTCAGGCCCCTCTGTCCTCACCCCCAGGCCACCGACTGGCAGGCCCTGCTAGCCCGAGCTGTTCAGCCCCCCTTCGTGCCCATCCTCTGCGGCCCTGCAGACCTGCGCTACTTTGAGGGCGAATTCACAGGGCTGCCGCCCGCCCTGACTCCACCTGGCCCGCGAAGCCCCCTGAGTGCCCGTCAGCAGGCCGCCTTCCAGGACTTCGACTTCGTGTCTGAGTGCTTCCTGCATTCCTGAGCCCAGTGGTGCGGTCTGGCCGGGACCCTAAGAGCCCATATGTGCCTGTAGGCACCCTGCCCAGCATCGGGACTCTGGGGAATTGAGAAGCCTGTGAGATTCAAGGTGGTGGCCATCGGGCTGCTGTGTGGGCTTTCTGTCACTGGGCAGAGTGTGTCCCCTTGCTGTCCTCTCACCATCCTCTACCTTCCAGCAAGAGCCAGATCGGAAAGGGCACCACAGTGAAGAGGGGCTTTGTTTGTCTTTTTAATACTTGACTGGCTTTGTGGATTATTAAATGTGTAAAACTGCACCAGAGGAGGCCCAGCCTCAGGATCTGGTGACCTGGGGTCCAGCTGCTCAGAACCACCTCTGTCCTCTTCCTCCGGAAGGCAGACCTGTGCTCAGGAGGTGGCAAGGATTCTTGGCCCTCCCAGGCCTGGCCCAGGTGGCAGGTGGCCTCTGGGGACACTAAATGTCCTGGCTGCTGCCCCCCTCCTCCACCTCCTCAGCCCGCAAGATATCCCAGGACCTCAAGGGCCACCCACAGAAGAAGTGGGCCAGGTTGCGGGTTAGGCCATGGTCGAAGGGGTTGCCGGGGCGCTGGCGGAGGTAGGCGATGCGGTGTGAGGAGATGAACTCCCAGGTGGTGGTGTTGCTGGCCACCAGGTAGAGGTGCGAGGCCAGGAGCAGTCCGACTACCAGGGAGAAGAGAAACAGCAGCAGGAAGGTGGCGAACAGGAGTCCACTGGATCGCAGCCACACCCCCCAGGGCTGGAAGAAGTGGAGGCCAGACCTGCAGCAGAGAAGGGGCTCGGGCTGGGGGTGTGATGGGTGCTCCAGAGCCCTGGCCCTGCACAAGCCTAGGGATGCCTGCCGCCCACATGGCCCCTGCCCCAGGCGGTGACACCTACCACGCCAGGTGCAGGCCCCACAGCAGCACGGCCAGCTGCAACGCCAGGTAGGCCACGAAGAGCGGGTGGTTGCGTTCACCCACGCAGTTCTCCATCCAGGGGCAGTGGTGGTCATAGCGGCGGACGCAGCGGCGGCAGTCACGACAGTGCCGGGCTCTCAGCGGCTGCTGTGGGCATGGAGTGGAATTGGGGCTCAGTGCCTGGGCCCCCCATGGAGAGGAAGGGTGAGGAGGGCACAGGACAGGAGGAGGTTGGGGAGTCTCAGCGTGGCGTTCGCTCCTCCCCAAGGGACCATGCGTCACTCACCAGCACCAGGCAGAATCTGCAGCGCCGGAGGGCGATGGCCGGAGGGACCATAGCTGTCTGCTCCTCTTTGGCCTCCTCCTAAAAAATGGGGAGTGAGGTCTATGATGTGGTTTCAGGGGGGCAGCGCATGGTTCCAGAAGTGAACAGGTGGATAGGATGGAGCAGCCTGCACTGAGCAAGGCTGTGTGACACCAGGCGTTTCCCTCCCGGGACCCTGGCAGGAGGATTTTCTGAGAAACCTAAGAAAGCCCATCATGGGCCTGGGCACTTGGGTCTCTGGAGGCTGGAGGAGGGGCTCGAGGTCCCCAGGGAGGGGCTCCCAGTTACCTGGGGCTGGGGCTGAGTGTTCACATAGCCCGGGTCCATGAGCGACACAGCCAGGTAGAGCAGGAGGGAGCCCAGCACCAGGAAAAGGAAGGTGAGCGGCAGCAGCAGCTCGCCCTGCTCCTCCCATTGGCGCAGCTCTGGAGAGGCCAAAGGACAGTGAGGTGGGGGTTGGGGGGGCACAGCTAGAGGTGGGGAATGCAGCTTGAAGATGTGGGTTCTGGGGTGACCAAGAGAGCCAGTTAGGCTCAGCCAAACAGTTCACCTGCACTTTCTCTGGGGGGCAGTAGGGAGCCATGGAAGGTTATGGGGCAACATTCTTTTCTCAAAGCTCTGCTGGCAAGAAGATGGGTGAGAGGGGATACCCACAGGCACAGAGGGAAGGGGGGTGACTGAACAAGGCCTGGGAGGAAAGGGGACAGGAGGGAGAAGACACAGGGGTAGGGGAAGAGGGGGACACAGTGATGGGTGGGGGAGTGGGAGGCCGGGTCCTGGGCCTCTGGCTCCTGTCTAGAGACAGACCTGCCAGGTCCCAAAGGCCTAAGGCTGGATGAGAGAGGTGCCAAGGTCACAGGCGCTCCCCCAGGAGGTTTGTGGGGATGGGAGAGACAGGATTTGGTGTTGAGGAACAAACAGCTTCAGTGCCCTTGGATGTAGAAGACAGCAGGGAAGGAAAGGTGACTTCTGATGAGGAGACCTAAGCAAGTTCCTAGGCTGAGGGAAAGGTACCCAAAGCTGAGGCTGGACGGACCAGGGAGGGGACTGATGGAGGGGGCTGGGGAGACTGGGCAGTGAGTGAATGCAAGCTACCATGAGAATAGCACCCCTCAGAAGGTACTACTTTGATAGTAGGAATGCTGGGGATATAGCATAGCAGCACAAAAGCCTGCCTGGCAAGTGCAAGGTCCTGAGTTCGATTCCCGGTACCAGAAAAACAACAAAAACCCCAGCTCATCTTGAGAGTGGGGAGCCGGGATCGGGGTACCTAGTTAGTGGCTGCCAACTGGAGGTCAGGGGATGAGAGCGAAGGCAGGTCCTTGAATCTACTTGATCCTCCTAGAGTTACGGACAGGAAGTTGGGGGCGAGTTCCTGGAGGAGGGGTGGGGTCCAGGGTCTGTGGAGAATGGGTTCTAGTGGGCCTTGGGATTTGGTGGTCACCAGACAGATCTGGGAAAGGCACGGCATCAGGTAGCGATCAGGAAGGTGCGGGGATTAATTAGGGGGTCACGTGGGTATCAGCAGGTGGCGCCCAGAATTCGAGGCAGACGGGGCCTCGGGCTGGTGGACACCAGGTGAATTCCAGTGTCTCTGGGGTTTAAGCAGGGGGACCCGGCCACCCAAACATGTGGGGAATCAAGCGGGGTCGGGTGTGCCCGGCTCACCGGTATCGTGCAGGAAGAGCACCAGCGTGATCCCCCAGGTCAGTACGGTGTGGCCAGTCCTTACCAGGACCCCAGGGCTGAGCAGCGCCCAAGGCGCCATCGCCTCGGCCCCGGGCCCCACCCGGAAGCGCGCTCAGAGGGGCGGGTACTCGAAGGAAGAGAGGCCGCGGCCAGCCGGGGATTGGCGGATCTGGGAGGTAGGCGGGGTCGGTTTAGGTCATTGAGGTTTCCTATTGGGTGGTTGTCGCGGCCCAGTGGGCCCGCAAGCCAACGGGTGCCTGAGGAGGCTGAGGGCGGGGTCGGCGCGCGCGCAACCGGTAACTCCTCCAACTCCAGCCCCCGCCGGCCAGGTAACTTTTGAAACCTGGAGAGCTGGTGCGCGGCCCCACCCCATCCCATGGGCTCCGCCCCCAGGGCTCGAGCATGCGCGTAGCTCCCTGGGCGCACCACGGGTCAGGCACTTGCTTGTTCCAAAGGTGTGAGGGTGAATGCTATCAAGAGACTTGGGCCACATCCCAGTGGCGCCATCGCTTCCTCCTCAGCATTGCCGGATACTGCAAACGGCTGATGGACAGTGGAGGTCGTGATGCAGATACTGGCTATGAATGGCCCAGCCCTAGTTGGACTCTGAAATACTGCACCAGTGCTGCTCCTGGCCAGTTTTTCCCCTTAAACAAAATTACTGAACTCTGAGCTGGTTGCGGTCCACATAAAGAGATCACAATGGTACCCACTTTCGGGGGTGGTTGGGAGGAGGAGATAACGCAAGCGCAGGCCAGGCGTGGTGGAACGACCCTGTAATTGCATATACTGCATATTTGGAAAGCTGAGGCAAGAGGGTTGCAAATTCAAGACCAGCCTGGGCAATCTTTGGTTGAAATGTAAAAAAAAAAAAAATTTTTTTTTTAAATCAGTACCAGGGATCGTGCACCTACAAGGCAGACGCCTATGCTGTTGAGTTAAATCCCCAGCCCCTGAAATGGGAGAAAACGACTGGATTTGTGCCTTCGTGGTAGGGTGCTGGTTTCACATGCTGGAGCACCTGGGCTTGGTCCAGGGTACCGGAAATAACAACTGCCAGGCATGTTGGTGCACATTTGCAATTCCAGAATCTAGGAAATTTGAGGCCAGCTTGAACTACACAGTAAGATACTCTCAAAAAATCACCAGCTGGTTGTGGCAGCACGTGCCTATAATCTTAGCATTTGGGAGGCTGAGGCAGGAGGATTGCTGCAAATTCGAGGCCAACTTTGGTTACATAATGAATTTAAGGCCAATCTGAATTACACTGTGAGACCCTGTCTCAAAAAACAAAAGTGGGGCTGGGGATTCAGGTCAGCGGCATAAGCACCTGCCTTGCAAGCGCTCCATTGTGAGTTCAATCCCTGATGCTGATTAAAAAAAAAAAAAAAAAAAAAAGACAAGGTCAGTGATCTGTGTGAACTCTGACAGTGATAGGAGGCAGAATTCTGGCTTCCCAGGCCATCTGTTTTGTTTTGTTTTTTGAGACAGGGTCTTACTATGTAATTCAGGCTGGCCTTGAACTCACTATGCACCCCAGGCTGGCTTTGAACTCTCAATGGCAATCCTCCTGCCTCAGCCTCCTGAGTGTTGGGATTACAGACAGCCATTTGCCTCTATGCCTGGTTCCCCAGGGCCTCTGGTGATTATATTCCAAAGGAGTGGCTCTCAGGTCCCACAGAATGACTGAGTGGTTGGCAATAGAACCCAATCCCTTTCAGCCATTTGCTAAGCCAGTGTTGGCTACAGCAAACCTGTGCATTCTTCCGGCAGCCTTGAATTTCTGGAGCAGGCAGTCGAGGGATCTAGGGTTGGTTGTCCCAGAATGCGACCTCGAGTTGCTAGAAAATGGGTCAGGGTTTCATGAAGTCTCTGAACGTGGGAGGAGGGGTGAAGGATAGTGTTTGTGCTGTGAAGGCTTCACCAGGAAGAGGCGGGGTATAGCACTTGGTCAATCCCTTGGAATCAGGACTCTGAATCTTAGCAAGGGGATACAGTTTAGAGAGTGGCCAGGAGCTGCTGTGGTGGGGCACACCTGTAACCCCACCATTGGGGAAGCTGAGGCAGGAGGATTGCTGTGAGTTGAAGGCCAACCTGAACTACATAGTGAGATCTGGTTTCAAAAAAAAGGAAAAGAAGGGGCTGGGGATTTAGCTCAGCGGCATAAGCGCCTGCCTTGCAAGCAGGCAGTCATGAGTTTGATCCCGGGTACCGATAAAAAGGAAAAAGGAAAAAAAAAAAGATAAAAAAGGCTGAGAATGTAGCTCAGGGTGAGGATCCTGGAGTTAATTCCCAGTACCACCAAGCAAAGAAAAGGGAAGAATGAGACTCAGTCACAGTTTCCAGGGTACTAGGCCAGGCCAGCAGGGGGGCCTTTCTCATCCGTCCCCATGTCTGCTTCCACAGTGGACAGGCTGGCACCTGGTGGCACAGCTTGATAACTGCAGCCCGGGTCACTCACGTTCCTCGTTCCTCTAGCAGGGAGATTTGCCCCTGAGGGCTTTTTGTTGGGCGCCGATGTGCTAGAAGATTTTCACAGATTCCAGTTCCCAATGGAGAGCTGTTTCTCATGGAGACAATAAACTGGCTTTGTGGTTTAGATGTCAGTCTCCTGTTGCAGGGATGGTCATGTTTGGATCCTGGACCGTAGCCAGTGCCCTCTTGCTACCCCACCCCAGGAGGGGGATGGGACCTAGGGCCTCACACAGGCGCTAGGCAAGTGCTCTGCCACTGTTATATGCTGCCCCTTTAAACATTTTGAGACAGGGTCTTGCTAAATTGCATGAGTTGGCCTTGAACTTTTGATTGTCCTGCCTCAGCCTTTCAGAGTGCTGGGATTATAGCCTGTAGCAGCACAGCTGGCTCATCTGGCAGGGGCACAGTGGGTGTGCTTGCTCTGCCAGGCTCTGGGCTGCATACCACACTGCCACTGAGCCTGGGGGCTGCTCACAGCCAGATGGGGAGGCAGAGGAATCGATTCCACGGCAGGAAGTGAGCAGGGGCTCCAGACACGGCAGGGACCAGGGCTGGGCAGTGATGGGGGTGTGGGCAGGAGCGAGGCTGTGATACAGCCAGAGGACCTGGTTTCCCTCCTTTGCTGTGGCGACCTTGAGGGAGGAGTCACGCTGCCTCTGTTTGCCTCTGTGTTGGTGTCCTCATCTGTGACACAAGGGGACCTGAAGAAGCAGGGTGTGCACATGGCACTTGGCAGGACCTGGTACACAGGCACTCTGGCCTTGTCCCGTCTAGACAGTGTTTCCCAGGGCTCCATGGCAGGCCACCACACTGGTTGTGCTCTCTGCCTGGCCCGTGGGCAGCAGTGGCAGAGGGCTCTTTGCAGGAGGCCTGGTAGCAGGGTCCAAACGCTCAGGTCCCAGCAATGTCACATCTGGTCTCTCCCTCATAGAGTAAAAGCAGCGCTGTACCAGGCCTGGCGGTGCACACCTGGAATCCCAGAACTCTAGGAGGCTGAGGCAGGAGGATCACAAGTTGGAGCCCAGCCTGGGTAACTTAGGGACTTAGGGAACCCCTCTCCAAATAAAAACTAAACAGGCTGGGATAGCTTGGTGCAAAGGCCCTAGGGCTCATTTCCCTTACTAGAAAACACAAACAGTTAAAAGCCTGTAAGGAATGTGACTGCAGTCTTTTTCATTGGGTGACATCTGAGGAGAGCTCTGCTAATGGTGACACTGTCTACAAGTATAAATGGGAGCCATGCTGGGGAAAGCCAGGGTCCCAGTTCCTAACCCCAGGACCCAGTGCCCCATCTTCCCCCTGGCTCCTTTCATGCCCGGGCTGGACACTTTCCTGGGCCCAGGGCCAGGCTTGGCTCTGCAGTCCCCTCTGGGGTCAGTAATAGCCAGCATGTGGGACATCAGCCTCATCTCCCTCTCTGATTTGGCACCACTGCCTTACTCTTCCCTGACCCTGTGGCTGCAGGTGGCACCTCCCCCCTGCTCAGGTCACTGGGGCTGGTGCCTGCTGTGCCCACACATCACTCGGCAGGGCACTCTCAGTCTTGGCCAACCTCAGAGGCATGAAGAGAAGGGGGAGGACAGATTCAACCCCTGCCTGCCACCTGTCCTTGTGGGTGAGACAACACAAAGCCACCGAACACAGTGTCCCTTGCCAGTATGTCCCCACCTATTCACCCCCTCTGAACCTCCCCCTTAGCCCCTCCACAAGAAAGACAAGCTGGTCCTGTGCACTTTGACAAAAATGTATTTCTGTGACATCCCCACGCACAGATGTGTCTCCGGCCCAGGGCTGTGAAGCAATGCGGTGTGGGCTCTGCCTGGGGCTGGCGGGCCAGGGATGGAGGGTGATGGCAGGGGCCCTGTGGCCGCATGGGAAGCAGAGGCCGCTCCCACCTGGAGGGTGAGGCACCCTTGCATCCAGCAACCTGCAAGCGGCAGGGAGGCCAGAGCCACGGGGGGCCCCCTCCAGGGCAGCTCTGTTCCCCTAGCCTATGCCACTTGGGCTCTTTGCCACCTGGCTGTCCACAAGAAACAGCTCTGAGCTCCAGCCTAGGACACAGTGCCAGGTGGCGGGGTGAGCAGGGTAGGCTCAGGCTCATTTCTGCTGGTGGGGTGCCCTGCATCTTGGCGCTTGTGGGCAGAAGAGGGCACAGGGCAAGTGAGTTCTGAACCCTGGGCCCCAGGAGACGCTGACTCCGGAGCTCGGCAGGTTCCGGGTGGGTTTGGCAGAGGGGCAGTGGCGCCGCCCCTGAAACCTGGCTGCCAGGGCTGGGGCCGTCAGCAGCCTGGGGCCGGTGGGAGGCTCAGAGGCAGCCTCCATAGCAGCGTGGCCCAGGCAGGTCTGGCCAGAGCCCTGCCCCTCAGAGGTGCTGGGGGGCCTCGGAATGGGTTTGTGTCCTGCCCTGATGGCCCACAGCTAGGAGCACCAAGGCTTTAGGGAGACCCGTGGGGTTAGTTCAATCCCCAAACCCCATCAGCCACACCTGGGACCCCAGGTGGGAATCTCAGAGGTGCTCAGGTGGCTTTTTGTGCCAGAGCCAGCCTGGGGCCGAGTTCACTGGGACAGGGCCGGCCATTCACGAGAGGCATCGAGGTGGCCAGGGCAGGAGGAGGAGCATGGCGGCGATGTCTGGGGCTGGCCTGGGGATGGCAGAGGAGCTGCAGGGGCTC